AGCCACAGGCGCCGAGCCAAATTAAGACTTTCTCAAAAAAAAAAAAAAAAAGTAGTTGGGCAAAAGAATCTTTTTTGATTTTTGAAACTCGGGCCTATGGCACCAAATCAATGTTAAGATGGAGGTGCTGATTCAGACAGAAAATGCGTGGGGCAGTACATGTGTCTGGCTTTTTTTTTTTTTAAGAGTCTGTCTTTTTGTCACCCTCCGTAGAGTGCTGTGGCATTACAGCTCACAGTAACCTCCAAATCCTGGGCTTAGGCGATTCTCTTGCCTCAGCCCCCCAAGTAGCTGGGACTATAGGCGCTTGCCACAACACTCTGCTATTTTGTTGTTGCAATTTGGCCGGGGCTGGGTTCAAACCTGTTACCCTTGGTATATGGGGCTGTACCCTACTCACTGAGCCACAGGCACCCCATATGTCTTTCTAAAATGGTCTAAGTAATTTTGAGGTACTTATCACAAGCATGTGAATGACATTTTTCATTGGAATCATTTTTAATGTTTAAATACAAAAAGTGAGTGCTTTTTTTTTTTTTTTTTAAACACACACAGGTCTAATTGTCGAAATGTGCAGAGCTTCTGCTTTGTCCTCCACAGTCCCCATGTTGTGGCTGAAGCTGCAGCCGGCCTTTCTCCTCTCCAACACATACAGGGATTCATAGTGGCCGCTTTACACGACAGTTGTAATGCGGTTTTGCCTGTTTAATATTGTGTGCATGTCCCTCCCAGACATCACCATTCTTTTTTTAAAAAAAGTCATTAATGGTCAGGGATACATCCCTCCCACTGGCATCAGTTCCTACCCCACAATGGGATAGTGAGATCTTCCAGTTAGAAGCAATTTAGTCAAAGGGTGAGGTGGCCAGAGTTGGAATAACCATCTGAATGGCTGCACTCTGCTATCAGAGTGAGGACAGAAAATATAAGTCAGGATATCGTGGAGGGTACGGTTGCAAGTTGACAGTCTATCCATGAGACAATGTGGGGAGAATTTCCCCACCCCCAGGTTTAGATAGATCAATGTACCAAAGTTTAAAAAAAAAATCCAAATAATCAGCAGTTCAAATACTATTGAATTATGAACTTCTCCCACCAACATAGTAGTAATAATCTAGATCTTCCCAGGAAGTGAAGGTAGAGCCCCTGGCATTCCTCCAGACAGCCCTGTGTTAGGCCCTAGAAGTATCTGGAAAAGAAAAGGAGGAATATAAGGCTTCGTACAGGCCCAGAGATCTCATTTTCATCATACCTGATGGGGCAGACAAGGTCTCCAAAACAATGTTGAGAATACCAATTGGGCACCTAAAAGTGTATGGGCTGGATCCCAATCCTTACCCACAACTTACTTAGCTGCTGGTTTTGTTAGGTGTCAGAGAAATAACACCTATCTTGTAGGTGTCCTTTCACCACCACTGGCAAAAAACACAGGGCCTGGGCTTACCTGCCGCTGCTGCAGTTGTTGCTGTTGCTCCATTTGCAACTTCTCAGTCTCAAAGACAACAGGAAGAACCAGGATCATAAAGGAAGTGGTCCCAATCCATAAGGCTGCCCTGGAAAACCTGCAAAGGGAGAGTGAGCACAGAGAGATGCCAAAAAAAAAAAAAAAACAGGCAAGAACAAACCAGTAACCAAATCTTCATACTCCAAAGTTTGATAAATATATTCTACACATTCCTTGCATCAAACTCCTAAAATAGGTGGAGCAGTTTTGGCAGCAGTATTATTGATAGAAGAACTCAACATTCTCCTGAGTTCTTACAAAGAAGTTAATACGTTAATAAACTCAAATAATCCGAAATGGTTCCCACAACGATACTGCCAGATAAGAATCCCCATTTACAGAAGAGGAAAATCAGACTTAGGATACAACTAGCCCAAGGTCACTCGAACTCAAGTCTGCTGTTCCAAAACCTGTTTTCTTTCACAGCACTAATGCACCTTCATAGACACTCCCAGTGTCTGTGCCCTCGTTCCTTACCTGTACATTTTTTGAGCCACAAAGAGGGAGAGATCAAAAGTGGCTCCGGCCGCGGAACGGACCCTCTCCGGGAACATCTCTGTCAGACCCCATAGTCTCTCCGACAGGGTCTCATCTAGCTGTAGCGGAAGAGGAGCGGGTCTTGGCAGAAGCAGCGGCATGAACTCTTGGCCCCGCTTCGGCACCGGGAGACGTCTACCGCCACCCCCACCCCTGACCTACAGCACACCCGGGCCCAGCGGGGCTCCAACCCCGCCTCCCGAAAAGCCGCCTTTGCCCCGATCTCGCAGCACGCGGAACCCGACCCGCAGGTCCGCTCCCCGCCTTGCACCCTGCAGGGCCCTGGCACCTCGTCGTCGTCGTCCTCTTCCAGCTCTTCTTCAGTCTTCTCTACGTCACCTTTTGGGAGCAATTCGTCCGGAGACGAGGGCTCCCCAGCGCCCGAGGGAACAGCGGCAGCAGCCATGGTTGTAGGAGACACCGGAAGCGGAAAAGAGCAGGTGAGGGCTGCAGATGGACGGACAGAGCCGCCCTTCCGGGAGACGAGACGCAGGAGCTGGAGAGAGCGGCGCCCTGTGGCCTGCAGGTCCTCCAAGTCTGTGCAACCTGTCAGGCTGCGGCGGCATTCCTGCCCGGACTTCAGTCGTCTTACCCTAGGCTTCTGAGACATCTTCATTAGGGGACTTAAGAAACAACTGGGGAAGTCGCTAGGGTAGAGGGGTGCTTCCGCGAGACTTCTGGGGACTTAGGGCAGGCTCAGAAAGCTGCATTTTAACAGGCCTCCCTAGGGTCATACTTTTAGAAACGCGAACGCAGTTTCCTTTTCCTGAGGAGTGCATTATTTGCTAGGAATAAATTAGTGATTGGTTTGGGAAAACATCAAGTAAACCATTCCAGTGTACTAAAACAACAGTAAGAGTTAACGCTGGTGTGAGGGTGTGCGGTCGTGTGTGGTGTGTACTCGTTCAATCTTTTTTTTTTTTTTTTTTGAGACAGAGCCTCAAGCTCTCCCCCTGGGTAGAATACCGTGGCGTTACAGCCCACAGCAACCTCCAACTCCTGGGCTCAAGCGAGTCTCCTGCCTCCACCTCCCAAGTAGCTGAGACCACAGGCGCCTGCCACAACGCCCGGCTATTTTTTGGTTGCAGCCGTCATTGTTGTTTGGCGGGTCCGGGCCGGGGATTTGAACCCGCCACCTTAGGTGTACGTGGCTGGCGCCTTAGCCGGTTGAGCTATAGGCGCCGAGCCTACTCGTTCAATCTTGATGACAACTGTTGAGGTAGCCACTACTATCCCCCTTTTAGACGTGAGGAAACAGACACCGTGCAAGACTGCTTGCAAGCATCTCTAGAGGCTAGGTAAGTGGGTGTGCAGGTCCGAAAGTATGTACCTGTAAAATTTTGTTAGGTATTAGCTAGCTAACTGCCCTGCAAAGAATTAGACACTTTCACAGTAGTATAGTAAGGGCGGCGCCTGTGGCTCAATGAGTAGGGTGCAGACCCCATATACTGAGGGTGGCGGGTTCAAACCTGCCCCGGCCAAACTGCAACAAAAAAAATAGCCAGGCATTGTGGCGGGCGACTGTAGTCCCAGCTACTTGGGAGGCTGAGGCAAGAGAATCGCCTAAGCCCAGGAGTTGGAGGTTGCTATGAGCTGTGACAAGACAGCACTCTACCGAGGGCAATAAAGTGAGACTCTGTCTCTAAACAAACAAAACAATAGTATAGTAAATGGAAGTATTCCCCCCATTCTCCCCAGCATTATTACCCATATTTTCATTTTTTGCCTATATGGTGGATATAAATGCTTTTTATAATGTGCCCCACAAGTTATTAACACAGAGTAATTTCATAAACACCTTTAACCAACTGATTGTGGAGGCTGAGACTCCCACGATTACAGTCCAAATCCCTATCTGATGTGTGACACGGTAGTAACATGTCTTTGTCCCATGCTTTACATACTTCGTTGTGGCACAGGAACTCACAGTTTCTCCTGATAGTGTCTCAGGCCTTTCCATCTTTGCACAGAGAAGCTCTATAAGAAAGTTTTCCTGTCACAAAAGGTTACCTACAGCATGATTCCAATATATAAAGTTAAAAAACAGGCAAAAGCAATCTGAAAAGCCAGGATAGTGATTCCCTTTGAGGAGAAAGGGCAAGTAATTTTTGCAAAGGGGCAGAAAAGTGGCTTCTGGATGCTGTTAAGGTTCTACGTGTATTTCTTGACCCAGTTGCTACAGGCACATTCATTTTGACTATTTCATAAAGGTGTACACTTATGAATTATGTTTTTTACATGCATTAAAAAGTTTGTTTTGGGGGCTAGGTTTGGTGGCTCACACCTGTACTCCCAGCTACTTGGAAGGCTGAGGTAAGAGAACTGATTGAGCCCAAGAGTCTAAGGTTGCTGTGAGCTGTGATGCCACAGCACTCTACCAGGGGCAACAAAGTATGTCTCCAAAAAAAGGTTTATTTTTTAAAGTATGCTAGATCTGTATAAATTTGAGGGAAGCTTTATGGCCCAGTAACAACGGCTTTTAGTTCTTTTGTGGTTTCTCTAAAAAAGACTAACAGCATTGAAGATGGAGGGGGAAGGTCTTACATTGTTAGCTCAGACACTGATGAATCCAAGTGGAAAGTAGTTCACAATGCTGCTAATGCAAAAAAGTTTTAGGAAAACCAATTTCGCTTATTCGAGCAATACATGACTTTTTTTTTTTTTTTTTTTTTACAAAAACTATGTTTAAGGCTAAAGAATTCTTTCAATAATAACAAAGTTACCAGGGGATAAGATAAGAGAAAATCTTGGGACTCATGCCATGCGAGTATTCACTTATTTACTTTTTTTATTGAGACAGAGTCTCACTTTGTGGCCCTCGGTAGAGTGCTGTGGCATCATAGCTCACAGCAACCTCCAACTCTAGGGCTTAAGTGATTCTCTTGCCTCAGCCTCCCAAGTAGCTGGGACTACATGCACCCGCCACAATGCCCAGTTTTTTTCTTTTGTAGAGATGGCGTCTCACTCTGGCTCAGGCTGGTCTCTAACCTCTGAGCTCAGGGCAATCCACCCACCTTGGCCTCCCAGAGCACTAGTGCTAGGATTACAGGTGTGAGCCACCGTGCCTGGCCTTTGCAGAGTATTCAAAACCTTGGGAGTAGCACTTTGGGAGGCTGTGGAGGGAGAATTGCTTGAGCTCAAGAGTTGGAGACTTGCTTAAGTGAGAGTGAGACCCTGACTCCTAAGAAAATGAAAAAAACCCATCCAGGCGCCATGGCAAGCGCCTGTAATTCCAGTGGCTTCTGGAGACTGAGGCAGCTGGATGCCCACAGCCGGAGTCTGAGATTGCAATGAGCTATGACACTATTGCACTCTGCTCAGGGAATAAAGTGGGACTCTGTCTCAACAACAACAAGAAAAAAAACCTTGGGAGTAGGTGAGATAAGCTAGAAAAGGCAGAGAGAGAACAGAAGACACAGGGCACAGCCCTGTTAAATCAGACATTGAAAGGTTGGGGGAGGAGGTTAAAAACCAGAGAAGTGTGGCATCACTAAAGTTTCAAGGAGAAAGACTCAACAGCAAAGATGACATGCTGAGACTGATGCCAGGCCAAAGGTCATGTCAATGGACAAGGGGACAAATTAGGGTGCTACCAAGTGAGTGGTGATGCTCCAGGCCAGAAGTCATATTAACTCCACTATTAGATGGGGGAAGGGTATCCTAGATCCCTGGGTTCCTTGCTCCTCCATTCCCTGCCACTCAAGTCCAAGATTTCCACCTTCCTATTTCAGTCCTGGCAGAATATGAAACTGGTACTGCAGTAGTTCTTAATTGAGAGAGGGAGGATAGATCCCTCTGAGAATCTTATAAAAGATTCAAGCCCCTTCCATTAAAAAGATGCAACTTCGCCCATACCTGTACCATGGTATTATGTACAGACCCACTTGCTAGGACCCAAACCTAAAGATTTTCTGATTATTGTCTCTAATCTGCACTCACTCCCTTACAGCTTTCTATTTCTGCTCTGCAGTGACACTCCTTTTCTTCTTTTTTTTAAGAGACAGAGTTTTCATTTTATCGCCCTCGGTAGAGTGTTGTGGCGTCACAGCTCACAGCAACCTCTAACTCCTGGGCTTAGGCAATTCTCTTGCCTTAGCCTCCCGAGTAGCTGGGACTACAGGCTATTTTTTTGTTGCAGTTTGGCCGGGGCTGGGTTCGAACCCACCACCCTCGGTATATGGGGCCAGCTTCCTACTCACTGAGTCACAGGCGCCGCCCAACAGTCCTTTTCTGATCTGATGCTTAGCACAAAAATTCACAAAATTGTTATAGTGATTACAAGAGAAGATGTCAAGGAAACAGCATTATTTACTTGGGTGCCCCTCAAGAGATGATGTCAAGGAAGCAGCACTATTTCCTAGGTGCCCCTAAGTGGTACATGTGGTTAATAAAGTCTCTGAGGAGGAAGAATTTTAGACAGAATGTGAAGGATATATCTTACTAAATAGATAAGATCTTGAAAGTATACCTGTAGTATCTCAAAAGAAAAACAAAACAAAACAAAACAAAAGGCCCTGAGACAACTGGGGTTAGGGAGGTGAAATATAGGTGAGGTTTTCCCCTTTCCTCCTAGAGGCCTTAATAGGATTATCCTTAATTGTCTCACACCCTGAAACCATCGGCCAACACTGGTGGGTTCCCTGTTCAAGTCCCATCCAGAATCTGTCCACTCTACTTCCTGTACTGTCCCCTCCTTGGGTTCTACTTGCCTCCTTCAGTCAACTGTCACCACACAGCACCCATAGGATCCTTTTCAAAAGCCAGTTGGATCACAGCATCCTGTTTAGAGTCCACAATGCCTTGCTTCCTTGCACACCCAAAATCCTTTTTCACTGCGGAATTGTCCCATCCACCACAGGACAGGGTTTAGGGTCCCTGGGTCTGGCTCCTTAATGTGCCAGTTGTGGTGGGGAGATCTGTATCATTGTGACATCCAGATCCGTCCCCAGTGTCCTGCTTGATTTAGGATGCTGGATTCTCTCCTCCAGCAGAGGAAGTCCAGCTCACACTGGCTCAGGCACAAATTCCCAAACCAGCTATAGGTCCCTAATAGGTCTTGGTTGGTCCCAACTCCTTGGAGCAGGAGGGTAGGGGAATTTGAGCAGACAGGCGCTGTTCCATTTCAGGTGGGCTTTTGCCAGTATTCCAGAGAAGCTGGAGTACCTTCCCATGAGGGTGACGTTGTCTTCTAATAAAGCAATGTAAACTTAAACTCCATTTACTGCTTGAGGAACTCATGTTTCTTTTTCAGTCATTTTAGCCACAGATTATTTAACATCATTTAATAAAATAGTAGTGTACATAGAAAAGGAGCACAAAAATACCTTGTTGCCACGGAAGGCTGGTGTTTGCTGGTGGGAAGCTGAAGTCAAAGAGGGTCGTGGATTTGGGAAATAAATATTCTTTCAAGGCAGGGAGAGTGGCCTGAGAGCCAGAGAACCAAAAGAGCCACTCACCTGAGAACCCCTCAAACAGGGCTCTGTAGAACTGGTGCCTTACCCCAAACACCAGGTAAAGGCATAAGATGATGAACTCAGCTGCCCATCCCAAACAGTGTCCAGTGGAGTGATCCTGGAACATGTGCACTTGTCTGCTTATGTATGTAGAGAGCACCCAAAGGCTCCCCGAGGTCTGGTTTACAGCCTGGCATCCTGAGGCTATGCGCCTGGAGCACCTTGCTAGTCACCACTCTGGCCTGGCCTGGAATCTTGGTCTCCTTCATCACACGCACCTTCCTACTGGCAACCCAGGGTGAGGTGACGCTCTCTCACAGGACCTAATACACTAGTTTGGCTTTAAAAAAAAACAACAAAAAAACCCTTGCTCAGCCACATCCTAGACTTCCCCAATTAGTGACTTTGTCCCTTTTTGTCCCTGCTCTCCTAACGACAGTCTCTGAGGTCTTCATTTTCTCCTCCGGCTGACACTCTTCAGTTCATCCAATTCCTTCTCCATTAAATGGGACTCAGCAGTGGTCTCTGAAAGCTGAAAGGACAGCAGCAGCTGTTATAAAGGACATGTCTGAGCTGTCCCTAAGCGCTGAGGAGAGAAAAGCCCCTGCCTGCCATTTCTCTGACACCGCTGTCCTCCACAGTGGGAACCCTCTGTAATCACAACTCAGGACCACAGTCCACTCTGTCAGCAATTTGTCACCTATGATGATATGGCACACTCTGTGTGAAGGACAGCAGGCCTCATAGGATGAAAAAGATAGATACTGGTGATTCTAAGGCTAAGGGATTAGAGATTAAATTGCTTCTGTAGTTCACATAATGACAATTTAGGGGGGAAATTCTTGAAAAAGAATGCCATGTTCCTCATCCGGACTTTAGAAAGTGGGCCACACTCAAGATAGGGACAGAGAGACATCAACTCTGTAAAAAACAGGTCAGCTTTCTATGAACTAAGGGCCACACTTGCTGAGCAATGCACTCTGCTGGGTGCTCTCCACATACCAACTCACAGGGAGGTGGAGACTGTTATTCCCATCTCATTGCTGAAAAAGCTGAGTTGCAGAGCAGTTAGCCAGAGGTGGAGCTGAGCAAGAAACCCAGGCCATTCTGTTCTTAACCACCAGCGTGTGCTCCCCTCTCAAGTGTTCCTCACATGCTCCTCTCACCAGGCTGCTGGGTTTCCAACAGCCACAGACAACCTATGCTAACATAGTATGGGCCCCTCAGCAGATCTGTGCTGGCTACTGATCGAGGCCTACTTGGCACATGACACCTCCAAGCAATGAGCAGGCTGTTCCCTTTTCCTGGAAGGCCTTCATCCCAGCCCCCAGTCCAGCCCCTTATATCTTCAGTTTAAATATCCCTTCCTCTGTAAAGCAATCCTGATTTGACAAGATTAATCTTGTGTCCTACACCAGACCCTAACTTCTGCCCTTGTCACAGACACTGTAATTATGTTGCTGTCCATCTCCTCTAGACCGTCAGCCCTTGAGAGTAGGGACTGTGTCTCATTTTTGTGTGTGCATCTTTGCACACAAGGTGACATACCTGGGCCAACTGGCACTAGGGAGACAGCTATTTAAATGACCCAAAGAGGAGCCTTCCCAAAAGGAATCCAGTCCTCCCTTCCCTGTGACCTGCCTCACCATGTCTAGTAGGATGTCCACTTTCAGCCGCAAGAGATTGTTCTCTTCTTCAAGTTGCTGGTTCCGCCTGCGAAGGCGCTGAGCCTCCCTCCGGTCCACACCTCCACTAATCCCTGTCTCTGGAGGAAGGACAAAACCAGTGGTCAAACGAGTCAGAAGGGGTTTCCTTCTACAATCTTGTTTAACAAAATGGCAGGAAATGTAGCCTACCTGCTATCCATTGGCCATTTTCAAACTTCAGGCTTTGCCCAGCCAGGTTCATAGTGGGGGTTCCATAGTCAAGGCCCAGCTCCACCTCCCGAGTTGACCGATCCAGCTGAGGATGAGACACCATGTAACAGCTTCAGCAGGCCACAGAAGGTGGGCCCTGGACCCAGCTCCTCTTCCACTAACTCTGTGACCCCCAACAACTCATTTCTTTTTTCTAATCATTGCCAGACACCTTTAATGATTTTTTAAAGGGTCAGAAAATTGACCCAGCACCTGTGTAGCTCAAGCGGCTAAGGAGTCAGCCACATACACCAGAGCTGGCAGGTTCGAATCCAGCCAGGGCCTGCCAAACAACAATGACAACTACAACCCCCCCCCCCAAATAGGCAGGTGCCTGTAGTCCCAGCTATTTGGGAGGCTGTGGCAAGAGAATCACTTAAGCCCAGGAATTGGAGTTTGCTGTGAGCTGTGATACCATGGCACACTACCCAGGGCGATAGCTTAAGGCTCTGTCTCAAACATAAAAAAGGGCCAGAAAATCAAATAATATACAAAAAATTTTTAAATTATTAGAGAGAAGATATGTGTACTGAAATATGTAAGCTGGATTATTTTATATCTACTACACCCTTAATAGTTTAAGGAATCCAACCCTAGGCTCGGCGCCTGTGGCTCAATCGGCTAAGGCGCCAGCCACCTACACCTAAGGTGGCGGGTTCAAATCCCCAGCCCGGGCCCGCCAAACAACAATGATGGCTGCAACCAAAAAAAATGGCCAGACGTTGTGGCGGGCGCCTGTAGTCCCAGCTACTTGGGAGGCAGAGGCAGGAGACTTGCTTGAGCCCAGGAGTTGGAGGTTGCTGTGAGCTGTGATCCTACGGCACTCTACCCAGGGGGATAGCTTGAGGCTCCATCTCAAAAAAAAAAAAAAAAAAGGAATCCAACCCTAAATTTTTTTTTTTGAGACAGAGACTCAAGCTGTCACCCTTGGTAGAGTGCCGTGGCATCACAGCTCACAGCAACCTCCAACTCCTAGGCTCAAGCGATTCTCCTGCCTCTGCCTCCCTAGTAGTTGGGATTACAGGCACCTACCACAACACCCAGCCATTTTTTGGTTGCAGCTGTCATTGTTGTCTGACAGGCCCAGGTTGGATTCAAACCCGCCAGCTGCTTGAGCCACAGGTGCCGAGCCCCACCCCTAAATTTTTAATAAACTTAAAAATCCTTTTTAAATGTCATAAGCCCCTACCTAGGTACCATCTGCTTAAAACATATGGAGCTACCTGTGTCATAGAAAAGGCATAATACCTAACACTGAATCAGCAGTAGTAAGTAGTTGCTTTTTGATGTGTGACAGTGCAATTTATGTGTTCATTTATTCAACTTGCTGAGCACCCACGCTGTGTCAGGACTAGGTAGGTGCTGGGTATTCGGCAATGAATGTGACCATCCCTGCCTCAAGAGCAACTCAAGAGGAAGAGTCCCTCAGGTATATGCTTAAGTGTCCCTTTCTTGGTTAGGTCTTCCTTGACCTTTCTATTTAAAATGACACCACCATTTCTACTGCCTGGCCACTCCCTACCTGAAGCCTTGCCTCATTTTTTTTCCACAGCACTTATCACCATCGAATATAAACTTCCTGATTTTCTGTACATGTCTCCATTAAAATATTTGCTCCATGAAAGCAAGGATTTGATTTTTCCTTTCCTTTCCTTAATCCACTTCTGTATACAGGTGCCTGGGACAATGGCTGGCTAATTTTTCTATTTTATTTATTTATGTATCTATCATTTATCTATTTATTTAGAGACAGAGTCTTACTTTGTTGCCCTCGGTGATATAGCATCATAGCCCCTGGCAACCTCAAACTTTTGGGCTCAAGCAATCCTCTTCCCTCAGCCTCCTAAGTAGCTGAGACTACAGACGCCTGCCACACGCCCAGCTATTTTTAGAGATTGGGTCTCGCTTTTGCTCACACTGGTCTCAAACCCCTGAGCTCAAGCAATCACCTGCCTTGGCCTCCCAGAGCATTAGGATTATAGGCATGAGCCACCAGGCCTGGTCAATTTTTCTGTTTTTAGTAGAGACAGAGTAAGAACAAAAGACTTTGCTCTTACTCAGGCTGGTCTTGAACTCCTTAGTTCAAGTTTCCGCCTCAAATATTGTTCATTCATCTGACACACGGCAGGGAGGAAAGGGTGCCTCAAGGTCTGTGGGCACTAGAAACTGAGACCCTAGGCTTCTGCCTGGCCTGCTTCACAGCATGCCAAGCCCCGGCACAGTGGGCCTGCCCCCCACCATGGGTTTAGCTGGGGACTAGAGACAATGGACCCCATGACCTGAAAGCTGGAGTTAATGCTCAGCCCTAACAGCCTGGCTGCTCTACCCTACTTACCTGTGGAGAACTAGCTCTGCAGGAAAAGGTCAGAGAAACCAGGATAGCTATGTCTTTTTTTTTTTTGGCAGTTTTTGACTGGGGCTGGGTTTGAACCTGTCACCTCCAGCATATGGGGCTGGCGCCCTACTCCTTTGAGCCACAGGCACTGCCAGGATAGCTATTTGTTGGTGTGTGACAGCCAAGAATGGCAGATAGGATTATGGTAGAGATTAAGAACCCAGCATTTGGTCACAGATGCTCAGAAGACTTCCGAAAAAATGAGGGTGATTGTATATATGGGATCTGCCAAGGATGGAGGGCAGGCATCTGATAGCTGGGAATAGAAAGTGATTTCCATGTGGTATGCCTTTACATTATATAATTTTTTTTTCTTATGAGACAGAGTTTCACTGCTGCCCTCAGTAGAGTGCTGTGGTGTTATAGCTCATAGCAACATCCAACTCCCAGGCTTAAGCAATTTTCTTGCCTCGGCTTCCCAAGTAGCTGGGATTACAGGCGCCCACCACAATGCCCAGCTATTTTTTTGTTGCAGTTTATTAGCTGGCTTGGGTCGGGTTCAAACCTGCCACCCTCGGTGTATGTGGCTGGCGCCCTAACCACTGTGCTATGGGCACCGAGCCTACATTATATAACTTTTTAAATTCCAGAGCTTATATGTTCAAGTGGGTAGTAAGTTATTTGGAAAGTTATCATTTATTCTAATGCTATTGTCATTGGTCTCAAAGTTTTTGGAGCAGCTCTTTTGAAACTATTTTAGGAGCTGGGATGTATCCATTTGAATACCATTAATAGTGGCAAACCATCATTCTTTGTGGCTTAAGATACAATTTCCTATGACAGCAGTAGCCCTGGGGGCAAGTGGGGCCTTCCCCTTATTTGCCCCACGTCTGCCCCAGGAAATGTACCTTTTTTTTTTTTTTTTGCAGTTTTTGGCCGGGGCTGGGTTTGAACCTGCCACCTCTGGCATATGGGGCTGATGCCCCACTCCTTTGAGCCACAGGCACCACCCAAAACCATCATTCTTTGAGAATGAGTTTGATTCTTAAAAATGATTCAAATCAATTCTTTGCCAAGTCTTGGAAATAAAGTGGACATCAAATTGGATAATATTCTTTGCAGCCAAAAATCATAAAAAGATTGACTGTCACATTAGGTTGTTGAATAAACTCTGAGAATTTCTATACAGGAGTTCCAAAATGCTTTTATCAATGGCAATGACATGAATTGGAAGGATGCCCTCTTAGGAACACGCTTTCCACTTAGAGACCACACTTGGCACTCTAGTCGTACTATACACCAGGTGACCCCAATAATGACACTCACAGAATGCAGGTTGGAGAGAGAAGCAGACTTCCGAGGAGGTGTCTTTTTCGGACTAAATGTGTTCCCAAAGAGAGGCATCTTTGGCCTGATAAAGGAAAAGCCAGTGCGCCCTTCTCCTAGGGTCAGGAAAAGTCAGGGGTACAAATAGTTGGATCAGTGACCTTATACTATTGTCCTCAAATCATGAAAACATATTTTATCACATTGCTATCAACAATCCTGGTGCTATGGTTTGTATGTGCCCACCAAAACTCATGTTGGAATTTAATTGCCTTTAAAAATGGCTTTTAAGGGTGGGACCTTTAAGGGGTAACTGGGCCATGAGAGCTCTACCCTCATAAATAGATTAATGCCATTATCGTGAGAATAGGTTAGTCACTTGGGAGTGGGCTCTTGATAAAAGGATATGTTTGGCAGCCATTCTCTTTCTGTCTTGCATATACACTCACCATGTGATGCCTTCTGCCACAGGATGACCCTCATCAAATACTATGCTCTTGGACCTCCCAGCATCCAGAACTGAGAGCCAATTAAATTGCTTCTTTATAAATTACCCAAACTGTGGTATTTTGTTACAGCATCAGAAAATGGATTAAGAGACCTGGCAAATACCTCCACATATTGAATGCTCACTATACACTAGGTCTGTACATGCAATAACTCATTTAACTTATATCTCCCCTTTGATTAGTCCTTTCATTCTCCCCATTTGACAGATGAGGTTTAGAAAGACTAAGGTCTTGAGTGGGAGCTAGTATTTGAATCCAGGTCTGTGTGGCTCTACGGTTTATGTTAACCACAGGTAAGTTTGTCACAAGTTGGCATCACCAGCTTTACAGTCTATGGTAAGGCATGCAGTCTCTACTTACTCCTGTACAGTGGGGTAAGAATCACACTTGGCACAATAACCTCTGCATATACTCCATTTTAAAGAAATTAAGCTATACTTATAGTTCACTTCCAGACTGATAATAAGTACCCCTCACTTAGTCCATATGTCAAAAGATTACCTGTCCTGTATGGGAGGTAAGGTGTCTTAAGTAAGGGTAGACTCATAACATGGCAGAAATGACAATGGCACCTTGACCCTGTACATTTGCATTCAGCACTTTGTAAGTTGTTGTAATAGACATAGGCCTAGTTAAACAGATTTCCTGATATCACCCTGATTTGGGGGAGAAGAAAGGCAGGGAGGGGTAAACGTTTTATTTAAATATAATGAAAATATAGAAAAGTCTACAAATCATACATCTTCATGAGTTTTAACTACACAAACACACATAACCACCCTCCAGATCAGGATACAGACCATGTCAGCACCCCATAAGCCTCATCTGACACCTTGATATATTAATACACAGATTTGTACAGCATGGCCTCTTTTTTTTTTCTTTTTAAGACATAGTCTCAGAGCTGCATCTGTGGCTCAAAGAGTAGGGTGCCAGCCCCATATACCAGAGGTGGCGGGGTTCAAACCTGGCCCTGGCCAAAAACAAAAAAAAAAGATAGTCTCTACAACCTGGGTAGAATGCCATGGCATCATAGCTCACAGCGACCTCAAACTCCTGGGCTTGAGTGATCCTCCTGCCTCAACCTTCTGAGTAGCTGGGACTACAAGCATCTGGCACAATACTCATCTGTTGTTTTTTTCTCTCTCTTTCTTTTTTTAGTAGAGATGGGGATCTCACTCTTGCTTAGGCCAGTCTCGAACTCCTGGCCTCCTAGAATGCTATAATTACAGGCGTGAACCACCACGTCTGGCTAGCATGGCCTCTTTTACACCTGACTTATTTTTTTCTTTTTGAGACAGAGCCTCAAGCTATCCCCCTGGGTAGAGTGCTATAGCATCACAGCTCACAGCAACCTCCAACTCCTGGGCTCAAGCGAGTCTCCTGCCTC